TAGATACCAGCAAAAATCTTACTTAGATCTAAGTATTGGCAGCTATCTTCATGTTTTGTTGTTCAACATGTTGTTAGTAAAAATGGGACTTTTGTTTTATTTTTTTCTTGGTTGTTTCTTTGCTTAATTCTTTAGTGGTGAGGTCTATGAACAGAGACAATTATACATTAATGTAATAACACCAGTACACTGTGCAAATAGATTAAGAGGTTCTGTATTTTATAATGACATTTTTAAAGCTATTTTTTTAGGGAGTACCAGGGATTGAATTCAGGGGCACTGAACCACTGAAGCTCATTCCCAGCCCTATTTTGTATTTTATTTAGAGAGTTGCTTTAGTGCCTCCCTTATTGTTGAGGCTGGCTTTTTAAGTCTGCATTTATAATAGTGATATTACTTTAGAATTGGTAGAAATGAATATTTTTTCTTTTTAAACCATCTTCAGAATAATATTGAAATATTAATTTGAGTGAACAATGCATCCATTTAGTAGGTAATTTCTTTTGACTATTCTACTTTATTGATAATAAAGCATAATTGTTACTTTGGGAGTGAATATTTGGAGATCCTGAAATGTGTTTTCTGGAAAGAGAATTATTTGCTGTGTCCACTTTTTTTTTTCTTCAAATTCAAACATCATCAAGGTGTCAGAAATGTTCACTTTTTCCTTTTGACAAGGTTCTGGATAAGGCTGACTTTCAGTGGAAACTTCAGAGAGAAATAAAAAGTCCTGGACAAATGACACAATCTGTATCACGTAGAGTATATTAAAAATGATTTCAAAGGACGATTATATTCTTTTGAGGGACCTTGATGCCAATATATCTTTGAAGCAAAAACACATCTAAAAATTCAATAGTCGGTTCACGATGTAGGCAACTCTTGAACTCTGTAGAACTTTCAATTTATTTGTATAGATAAGGGCTTTAGCCATAATTCTCTGATTCTGTTATATATATAAAAAAGGGGGACTAGAGAATAGTGTATTCCTGCCATACCTTTTTCTTCTTTAAAGTGCAGGCCTATTTCTTCAGTAATAGTATCTTGGAGAATTGTAGTCTTACAAAAAAGTTGCCATGAAAGAAGTACTGAACTTAGAAAGGATAGCTCTGTTAAACTGTTATTATTGTGTATGAAATTTCAGATCATTCACCTCATTCAAACAAACATACAGAAACCAAAGTATCTATCTTCTATCATCTCTCTATCTATCAATCCATTTATCATCTCTTTACTTCCTAGTGATGTACTAGGAAGATGTTCCTTGCCCTCATTGTCCTGACTCAATTCTCTTCACTCTTGAATCTTGGGGATCTCCAGAACTCCGTGAACCCACAGATTCTCTGAGCAACTTTACTACACATGTGACTAGCTCCAAGCATATGTGTTTGTCCTAAAACTTGCCCTAGGAAGAGTGGCCCTCTGTGACTTTATCTTATCTGCAGCCCCTTGAGGACAAGGTAGTGTGTCATTTCAGTAGCTTGTGCTAAGAAATAAGCATAATTTTTGGTTCCTAGTCACTAATTGCTTCATGGCTTGCTAAATTAATAAAATTACCTGCACATAGCTTAGGGAAACAAGTAAAATGCAGTGAGTAGAACAAATCATAGGTAGACTACCCAGACCTGAGAGCTCCTCAGGAATGTCTCTCCCTGTAGCTACCTTCAGTATTTACCATCAGCTTAGTGAATCTTTCCATCCATACTTTGTAAATCTTTATTGGTAAATGCCATTTGAGAAGATTAACATTTTAGGAGATTATAAAGAATATATATGAATTTGTTTCTCAGATCAATTTTACCAGAAGCAAAAAGGACTAGATAGTAAAGCCACATTTTTGAGGAAGGAAATGACCTGAGATAAAAGCCTTGGCCAGGCCTCTGTAGTAAGGGGAAAGCCAGGTACACTGAGAGGAAGGGTCCTTATGGTACAAACTTATCCAACTTGTCAATACCTTGAGCTTGAAGAAAACAGTGTATTGGCTTTACTGTTTCAACCAGAGGCTCAAAGCAGCAGCCTCCAACAGCAAATGCCTGGAGCTGCATCTTCATGAAGTGTGTGGACATTCAATTGCTCCAACACTCAGCCTTTACTTACAGGATGGGTTTTGGGAAGCTGCTCAACTCCAAGTATAGATGGGAAGGAGCACAAAAGTTTATGAGACAGAGGTGAGTTATTATCTTGGCACTTGTTCTATTCTTGAGGTGTCTCCTGCATGATAGATCTGAGTCTTAGTGTTCTCCCATTGCTTCTCTTCTTTTCCCCCAAATACTCAGTGGTCACAATAGGTTGGAAATATAAACTTTCACTTTAGCAAAAGAAAAAAAAATAACAAGAAAAAGTACAAATGCTTCAGGACATTGAAATGGCCAGGGATATTTTTTGGACAGTACCTCAAAAGCAAGGAAATAAAAGTAAAAATAGACAAATGGAATCGCATTAAATAAAAACTTTCTGCATAGTGAACAGAATGAAGAGATAACCTACAAAATGGGAGAAAATATTAGCAAACACATTTGACTAGAGGTTAATATCCAGAATATGTAAGAGAAAGACAAATATTACATTTTCTCATATGTGAAAGAAATAAATTGATGTCATAGAACTTGAGAGTAGAATGGTGATTTTTAGAGGCAGAAGTAAAGGAAGAAAGTGGGAGAAGAAATGTTGATTGATGGGTTCTAAATTCCAGTTAGATGTGCCAAGAAATTCTGGTATGTTATTACACAGTGGCATGACTATCAATAATGATAATGTATTATATTTCAAACATTTAGAAGAAAGTATTTTGAATATTTTCACCATAAAGAAAGGATAAATATTTTAAGACATGTATATACTCAATCTGATTTAAACTTTACTCAAACTATACATATGTTGAAGCCTTGCACAGTACCACATAAATATGTACAATTTTATGTTTTTATCAATTTAAAAAGTTTAAAAATAAAAAAGAAAGGAATTTAAAAAGATATACATACCTTTAAAAAAGAAAGATATCAGAGCTGCAAGAATTATTTAATACTGCTCTTGTACACCTTGGGAAGAATGAACTTTGTAGGGCCTGAAATCCCAGTCAGTATACAGGCTGAGTCCATTTTCCTTTCTAAAGCCTCCTCCTGCATGTTCACTGGATCATTTCCCCTTTCCCTGCTCAGTATTTCAGAAGTTCTCTCCTTATCATATTTTTTCTTTCTCTAGGAGATCTTTCCCTTCAAAGTATGAATGTAATATTTCTCCCATGTCAAAAATCTCCCTTCTCTTGTCCCTACTTCTTTAAGCATCTGCATAGCTAACTCTCTCACCTCCCTTAAACCTTTACTAGAGCATCACCTTCTCAAACTTTTCTTCATCACCTTATTTGAAGTTATGACCCACCCCGACTCTTCATCTCACAATCCCTGTACCTGTCATCCCATAGTATTTATCGTCTTCTATGTAATGCACTTACTATTTGTTTTGGTTTATATAATCTTGCATTAAAAATGTAACAAAGAAGGAATGTATGTCTGTTTTGAACATTATTTTCAAAATTCATCAACTACTTCCCATACCTTACTAGGTATTTAATAAATAATTGTAGAATGAATGGACTACAAAGAATACCATATCTGTTTTATTCTTAAGAGACTCAATCTTACAATTTTTAATTTAAAAACTAAATTTTCAACCAAAAATTACTTTGTTGCTGTTACAAAATTAATTTCATTTTTTATTGGTATTCCTATTTGCTCCACAGGACCTGATTCTACTCTTGGTTTTAGAAGTCCCATGGTTTCTGGGTTTTGTGCTCTTCTGGAAATATCTGAATGGAACTTCTGGATCTACAAGAAAAAATAGTCTGGGGGACTTTAACAAGATTGATATTCTCTCTCTCTCTCTCTCTCTCTCTCTCTCTCTCATTATAGGTGGACACAATACCTTCATTTTATTTATTTGCACATGGTGCTGAGGATCGAACCCAAGCCTCACACATGCTAGGCAAATGCTCTACTGCTGAGCCACAATCCCAGCCCAAGTTTGTCTCTCTTTTACACTCAGAATATACCCATTCAGAAATTCTACATTCCTTGGTTCTGCATTCCTTTTTAAACAAGACATTGGTCTACATGTTTATGGCTCACAAAGCTAGGTATCATTTTTAGTGCAAGATATACTATATTTTATTTGAATGGGGTAGACTTTATTGATTTTTTATTAAATACAATTCAATTCATTAGCGGGTTTCAGTCCATAGTTAATAAGGTGTCAGTGTTGGAAACAAAACTAGTTAAAATTGGAGGATTTGGGGAAAAGGTGTCTTAATGTGACAAAAAACATCTGAAGCAAACGTTTAAAATTGTTTAAAAAGGACTAAAAAGGAAATGTAGGGAAGTCTTAGCATACAATCACTGTTTGTACAATATTCCCCTTTGTTAAGCCATTTAGTGTTGCTTTTATAAAGGGCTGTGCTGACTTTGGTGTATTCTTTCCCTTTGACTTTTGATATAAACTGTGCTTTACCCCTGGCAGATGTGCATCTCTAAAAATCCTCTCTGAATCCTCTACTCCATGTGTACTTTCACACCTGTGTGCACACATACATATGGACATATACAAAGATGAAAGCTTTGTATTTTCCATTTCTGGCACTTCCTTCTGGATTATTGCTGGAGTAAGAGAGCCCTTTTAGGTTGAAAATGGGAATGGTTTTTCTAGCTTAAGATACTATAAAAATATGAGGAAAATAATTAATTTTTTTCTAGACCTTATTCTCATCAATCCCATCTTTTTACATCAGAATCATCTGAGGAAAAAAAATCTAAAAATACTGCAGTATGATCTTTATCTCAAATCAATTAGACCAGACTCTCTGGGGTGGGACCCAAACACTAGTATTTTTTAATGTCACACTTCCATTTAATTACTTTTACTTTTCCCTAAAATAGTTTTATGTTTTGTGGAGGCATAATTTAAAAATAAATTTATAAATATTTATGATGGATATCATAATATTTGGATATACGCACACATTGTGAAATGATTGAATCAAATTAATATTTATCACTTCACATACTTTCTTGGATGTAATCATTTAAGATCTACTCTAGCAGCAATTTTTAGTAGAAAATACATCATCGTTATGTATACTCACCATGCTCTGCAATTTATGGGTAGAACTTTTTCATCCCGCTTAACTGTGATTTTGTGCCATTGACCAACATCTTCCCATTTCTGTCCACCTACCTCCAGCCCGTGGCTCAGTACTTCTTTACTGGTAGGAGTCTGACTTCTATAAGTTTATCATCTACAATTTGCTTTAAAAAATTGATTTTACCTCATCAATAGATTTGTAAAGTATGCGTAATTTTTCGAAGATAAAAATATATGTTGAAGCATTTATTCTAACCATTGCCTTTACTATATTTAGGGGGATGTTATGGTTTGAGAGTGTAATGTTCCCCAAAAGCTCATGTGTTAAAGGCTTTGTTCCCAAGGCAACAGTGTTCAGGGGTGGATCTTTGGAGAAGTGATTGTATCTTGAGTGCTCTGAACTCATTACTATGTCCATCTATTGAAAGAGTAATAATTTGATGGCTTTAGTGGGAGGTGATGGAAACTGTAGGAGGTGAAACCTATTTGAAGGAAGTGGGTCCTTGGGAGTGTGTCCTTGGAGACTATATCTTGTTCCTGGCTCCTTTTTCTTTCTCTCTCTGCTTTCTTATTATCATGAGCTAAGCAGCTTTTCTACAATAAATCCTTCTGTAATGATTTTCTATCTCACCTCAGGTCCAAAGAAATGAGGCCAGCTGGCCATGGACTGAAACCATGAGCTAAAATTAATTTTCCTCCTTTAAGTTGTCCATGTAGGGTGTGCTGGTAACAATGACAAAAAAACTGACTAAGCCAGAGGAGGAAATCATGATGGCAAATGAATTTTCCTTGAACTGGTATTCAAAATCCTTTTGTGATTTTATTATGTTTGCAATTAGATAAATGTCTGGAATGTTGAAAATTATGTATGTAAAGAAAAGATACAGATTACATGCTTTCTGTCTTATTTTAAACAATTGGCTAATTTATCTGCATATCTGCTTACATTGTCAAGGTCAAATTTGAAAATGGATCAAATTTCTCAATGCAAGAGACAATGGAATTAATTTCTGTGCATTCACGCATTCTAATAAACAAACAAGGGAGACAATATGGAGGTGTGAAGACATTGTTAAATTTAGAGTAGGTAAATATGATTTGAATCTCACATTTGTTACTCACATCTACTGCCAATGCATTGCAAGTTGGGATCCGACCTCCCTTTCACCATCTCTACATGCATAGCCCTAGTCCAGGGTAACATTGTCAAACCTCTGGACTCTTGCAACAGTTTACTGTTTTCTCCCACCAATGTCTCTTCACATCTTGTCCTTCAAGAAATTTACCCACACATGGCCACAGAAATCCTTTTAAAGCATAAATCTAATCACTTAATAATCCCCTTTCCATTGAAATTAGAATAATTTTTACGTTCCTCATCGTGCCTTTTTCTCCTAGTTATGTGCACATCAGTTACACAACTGTCTCTGGAATAGGTTAAGCTCATTTTGTTTTGGGGTCTTTGCACAGATAATTTCAGAGTAAGGGATGAGAGCAAGGGCTCATCTAATGCCCTCCCCAGGTAGTGGCATGTATAATATTTTGCAAATATGTTATTTCATCTGTGAAGCTTTTTATTTCTTCAATGAGACCATGCAAATATCATCGGAAGTGTCCAAATATTTTCCTGAGCTACACATTAGCTGAAAGAGAGGAGCCATTTAAGTCAAGACTCTGAAATCAGATTATAAAAGTAAATCATTACTATTATACATAATATAATTTAATTCCTCATTCAGATCAAAATTATAACCATTTTCAAGCATAGAAAATCTATTAGGAACTATAGTAAATATTAGAAGATAAAAGAATAAGTGAAGAAAAATGTCTTTATTATTTGTTTATCATCAAAAAAGAGAACAGGAACAGTACAACAATAATTACAATGCAAAGCCTAATATGTATGGCAGAGTCAGAATTTAAGGGTTAGGGATAATGGAGTGTCTAATAGGTCTGACTCTCATTGTTAGTAACGGTGATTTCAAAATCTGCATGTCTCTTCCACAGTCTGTTAGACTTGCTTGTCCTTAATTGAATCAAAATATAAAATTAATTGGTTTGGGGGATCAGGGAATTGAGGAAAATTTCATGAAGGAATTGGGTCAGTAAAATAGAAGAAATAATGGAATAAATTTTATGTATCTCTTTCTCAATTTGGTCATGGTTTTACTAACTAAATGAAATGTTTTGTATTTTGAAGATGTCAGCCTCCTAAATATTACTAGCCTTGTAATAACTTTCCAATTTTTTTTTTCAGAAAAGTAGAAGTCTAGTCTCTGGAGTGACAAGAAGCTTGGACAAAGCAGTATTTGAATTCTCTGTGGCCTTCCCCCTTTGCTTGTAAAATCCTCATTCATAGAATAATTGCAAAAATTAGAGGGAACAATGTTTCTGACATGCAGGTGCTTGATGCTATGCTAGCTCTATCCCTAACTTTTAATAACTAAACAAGCTTACATTACAGAAAGAAGACAGAATTTGTGAATGAGAACTGCATCAATCAGATGAACTTGAATTATGTCTCTGCCACTTCATCTGCTCTGTGATCCTGGGCAAGTAAGTTAACTGCATCTTGCCTCACTTCCTCCATTTGTTAGTTGGGGATCATGACATGTCCAATCTCAGAACACTCTTGTGAAGATCACATCAGATAACTCATGCCAGGCACATAGGTAATGCTCAACAAACTTGTGATTATTTATAATAATTATTAATAATGACCTGACAAAGTAAAAAAATAAGTACTACTTATTAATTATTATTAACATACCTAACCATGGGAGTTACTATCAATCTGATAATCTATAACATATGACAATCAACATGCAACAGGTGCCCTGATGCTGAACAGATTGTTCTCAAATAAGAAAGAGCAGCTATATACACATATATAGACCTGAAGGGCTATTTTGAAGTACCAAATTTATGTGATTTTATTAGATCATATTACCAGTGTGTGTTTTGTACTTATGTTTTTATAATTTAGCATTTAAATACCTCTCATTTTAAGAAAATAGTATGGGAGGTCAAATCCAGGTAGTGTAAAAGATGATTTCAAAACAACTAAGAAAGATGAACTCAAAGGAAAAATAACCTTGTTAAAAGAAACTGCCTTCAGGGGTCCTGGAATATTAAAGCTAGAATATTGCTATTTTAAGTCAGACAGAAAAATAGAGGTGCAGATTGGGAAGTAGAGAGATTATTGCCAATGGGGAGAATTTCCTGTTTGACTATTTCTTCTCATATCTTATTATATAAGTTGATTGATTGTTTTTCCCTAACTCAAGTTTGGATCCCATGTGTAGAAGAGCAATTGTAGTGAAATATTTTATGTGTAAAACCCATTTGGAGTAAAACATTTTCTCTCTGTATGCTCATAATTATTTTCTGGTTTATTTAGAGTAATGTACAGCTTGAACATTCTGGACTGAGATTTACATTCTCCAAATATACATGAATAAACACCTGGTGCACTTCAATAAGAAATGAAGTTTGTTGGTTTGATTTCCTTCAGTCTGAAAAGAAAAAAAAAACTGTCATTAGCAGAAGTCTGGAAGAGGAAGATATTAGACTAAGAGAAATGCTGTGCCCACTTTAAAGACCCCAGAAGGTCCTCTGCATATTTTACGTGCCCCAAGTTGCCTCCCCAGTCTTTGCTAAGTCCCAACCAAATTTAATGACAGTGTTCTTACGTATCCTTGATTTCCCAGGATCTTTGACTTTGGACACAAAGTCGCCTCCATTTACAGGGCATCTCCCCCATATCTACACATCCAAATATTGCCCATCATTTAATTAAATTTCAGGTCTTAGGCAATTTTTCCTCTGAAACCGTTTCTAATGTTTTCATCAAGAAATGATCACATCCTTTAAAAAAGCCCTCTGGCTTTTCATCCATATTTCTAATATGGCATTTTATTCAATGAATATTTATTACGTACATGCAGAATCCTACACGCTCAGTGCTAGGGATACATCGTTGGGTAAAACGGTTTGAAATCCTTGTAAAGTGAATAGAGCTAATGTTGCATATAGATAGTAAAATAACTGATAAGAAGAAAAATGTAGAAGAGGAAAGGAATGTGGGGTAGGCAGAGAGAGGACAATGTCATGTAGGTAGGAGAGGCCTAACAGAGAAGAAGACTCAAAGTGCCCTGGGAAGGGGGATGCCTGACAGTGGGATACCACTGGGTTAGTCCTAGAGGTAAGGTGAGGAGTAGGGAGGGACAGCAGACCACAAAGAAGAGCAGACAGACTGTATACATACATTCTTGCAATGACTGACTTTTTCTTAGGGTTGGATGGTAAGCCCTCAAAGGGCTTTGTTTACCACAGAAACATGATATTGTAACAGAAGCAACAATGCAGCAGTGAGAGGATAAAAATACGGGAAATATTCTCAAGGTAGAACTCGTGGGATTTATGAACAGATGGGACAAAAGTAGAAGTGTGACTCCAAGGCCTAAGGCCTGAAAAACTGAGAATAAGAAGCCACCATTAGTTGAAAGGGAAAAGACTAAAAAGGAACAAGAAGTAGTGTCAACTACTTTAGATTTAGCTGTGCTCAGTGCAAGGCTACTTTCCTGTCTTAGGGTCATTTGAATGTATGTTAGTGGTTTCAGAGAGCAACTGGACTGGTGATTCAAATTTGGGAGTTGTAAACATTTAGATGGATATAAAACAAGGATACAGCATATTCTCACTTAGGAATGAGTCCCAAAGGACTGGAGAACTATAACATTTTTAAATGGGTATAATATAATTGTTATACACCAATAAATTTTTTTTAAAAAAAGTGGTTATAGAAGATGAAGAGGAATAAACAAAGGAGGATTTGAAGGAAAGAACAATAAAGAAGGAAACCAGGGGCATTTGTGTCTTAGAAACACGCAAGTAAAGAGAGAATCCAGGAGTTATCAACTGAATTAAAAGCTGCTGACAGTCCAAAGAGGATTATCACTGAGCATCATCCTCATACTTCAGCCAAGGCAATGTCACTGGTGACTTTGACTTCAGCTATTTCAATAGAATATAGTTGAGAAAGACCTGGTAAGATAGGTTCAAGGGAAAAGAAACTGGAATCAATTAGTATAGCTAATTTTTTTGAGCAGTCATCCCATACAGAAATGGAGAAAGAAATGGTAATAGTGGATGGAGGATAAAGTGGGGTGAAGTATATGTACATATATACACATACAGACAGACTTACAAATATATTATAGGTACTATGCATGTATTTATTTTAAAAAATAATAACATGACATTTTCGTATACTTGGGAGAAAAAAAATGAAGATGCAATGAGAAAGAAGAGAATACTAGGGATATTGACCTTGCCTAGACAAGAAAGAATGGGATTTGGCATATAGTAGAAAGACTCCTTTGCTAGTCATAAGGATATTTCATCCACAGAATGTGAGAGATATCATGGTATGTGTACATACATGCAGGTAGGTGAATATGGCCATGAGAAATTATAAAAATCTTGTTTTGATTACTTTTATTTACTCAGTAAAACAGAAAGCACATTTAGAAGCTGGTATGGCTTAGACATGAGGTGTTCCCCAAAAGCCCATATGTGAGATAAAGCAAGAAAGTTTAGAGGTGAAATGACTGGGTTATGAGAGGCTTAACATAATTAGTGCATTAATCCCCTGATAGGGATTAACTGGATGGTAACAGTAGGCAGGTAAGGGTGTGGCTGGAGGAGG